GGTTGGAACATGGGCCAAGAATGGTGACTCGAAAGGAGTCCAAGACACAGTTTTGGAAGCTTTGAACAGATGGAGCGACATTTGCTCTAAAGTCCGGGAGAGCCTAGAGCCTCCATGAGTCGAGAAAAGGAATTGGGCCCCAGCAGCCAAAGCAGGTTCAAGTGAGGGGTGGAGTTGACTATGTGAAGACAAACTTGAGGCCCGTGTTTTCCAAGTATCAGTGAGCTCAACATCCGGACGTGTACTGAACACTGTTCCAACTGATCCAGGGGATTTCGTACGTTTTGCCTCACTGATTTGGTCTCCTTTCTTCTCCTTTGCACTCGAAAGGAAGGCCTGTATGAGCAAGCACCAACACGTGCAATTACTATCGTGAATCTCAGGAATTGAGCTGAAACCTGCAAACGCAATAGGCCCCACTCAAAAAGAGATAACCATATTTCCACAGTTTTTGGATATGTTCAGCTATGTTGACATTGTGGCTAAAGCCTGCAAAAGCGATAGGCACCCCTCAAAAGAGATAACCTTGCTGAATCCTTTGCTTGACACTACGTTTTGGGAGATACTTATATTCAGGACGACCCGTGGCTTTTGTCCTTCGCGGACAACTGACATTTGGGGTCCAAACGGCTGATATGATGTCGCAGGAGTTTCTGTTCCCAAAGGCTATTTTTGAGCAGAGTCTATGAGCAAACCTTTGGCGCAAGAGAGAAGCGATCCTTGATAAGGTTTAGACTCCGAGTCGCTGACATGGAAGTGGATCACCTGTTTCATCCAAGGGGCGACTGTCGACTTCCATTGTTTCAGGGAGTGTAAGATATACCAGGGTCAAACAAAGACGCCAAGTTGCAGCCCATATCTTTTGTTACTGTCATCGTCAAATCAACACCTTTTCCCCAAACAAGTATACTTACCGGGTTTGAATGCCTCAAGGTCGGAATTCAACGTCCGGCACTTGACTCGCAGAGAACGACAAAATGATGTGCAGCCCGGGGATTGGTGTAGGTATATATATATATAGCGATCCTTTGGCCGGTCTTCTGGTCGAGGGATTCGTTGCAGATTTGACCGGCTGCAAGACTCATCCATGTATGTGTTAATATTTATTAGAGTCCATGGAAAAGCTTAGGTGTATATGGCCCGCTGTGCAGTTGCTGTTTTGCTTTTCTCAGGGATATAGTATACGACCATAGTAGCGCACGGGTTGCAGAAGGCTGATATTGGGCGCAAGCAGCATGAGCCAGGGAAACAAATTACAAGATGTTGGAGACATTGTCCTTTATAAACTTAGAGGCTTCTCTACCCTCTTTGTTGGACCAACTGAGACTGTGCCACACCTGTGTCCTACGCATTTAGACCACGCTGGGAGGACAAGTACCGAGGTTCTCATGTTTTGGAGGTCACTAGACTGGGAAGCTCTTTGGGAACTCACTTGGATCCTTCAAGGACTGCAACACGTGACTCGAACTGCTGCACATTGTGCACTAGAACTTGGATCCGCAAGAAGACCCAGAACTTTGCAGCAAAAGTCACTGGGAAGATGGTTCACCCCTTTGGACCAGAAAAGAGCAAGGGCGTTCGAACACTCGCCTTAGTCTGGTACTATATATTGGTTTGTTTTGGAGTTATTACGGTTATTACAGTGGAGAAGGGATTGTCAGCTATAATAAATGTCGAGACAACAGTTCTCGGCTTCGCCATGGTCGGCGAGACGACTGGCCTCCTTGCTGATCCTTTTCGCACGCTGCCCATCACGCGTTTGTCACATATTGTCGGAGTGTGAGACGACGCAGCTCAATTGCAACATGTACCGACCTTTTCATTCCTCACAATCACTGATTTTGTTTGGAGGATTGGATGACCTTTTTTCATCCGTTCCTTGGTTGACACAGCAATGATACATATAGTATATTATAGTGTATTATATTACGTTTATTTTATAGATCGTTCTTTATAGACATATTATAGGACTGCTGCACATTATGCATAATATACCTTGCTACTGTCCGTGCTTTGTACTGAATTAATTGTTCGACGCCACAGAGCCAGCACTCATGTTAAGCGTCCATGCAAAGCACTTCAACTTAGGAAGCTTGCAACTGAACCTTGCTTTTGTTTGGCTGTATTCGTTGTCATGAGGATAATGGGCCGGATCAGGAATGACAATCCTGTTCAGGAACCTGTTATTTTTACAAACTACGATCAAACATGTTGCTTGCAAAAGTTCCTTTTCTCCCTCTTGGACAGATTTCAACCTACATTTTAGCACACTCAGCACTCACATAGCTATTGACTATTGATGTGCTAATAACCCCTGACAGGTGCAGGCACAAAAAGCCTCAACAAGTAGGGGTTGTTAGAAGAGCAAGAGCCCTGCTCCTCGTTTGTGAAGATAGATGAAGGAATTCGACAGTTCAGTGTCGGATATTCTTACTGTAAAGCTTGGCAAGGGACACTGGGATTGAGCGGCTGCGCTTTTTCCCAGAGATGACACATCCTTTTTGGCCTCGAAGGCAGCTGTTTTGAAACGACAGATTCTTTGTCGTTTTAGGGGAGTTCAGTGCTTGTTTTTTTTCCGAAGAAGACCTCAGTAGCAGCCAAGGCGTTCCGCTTTCTTGCACTGCTGTTGGTCAAAATGAGTGGAAAGCTACAACACAAGAGGAACAGAAGAGAAGGATCTTGGATTGTTTGTCAAAGTCCCAAGGTGAATGGATGTCCACACTGAGTATAGCAAAAGCTGTGGTGGGAGGCAGTGGCATTAAGAAGGATGTGAACCCGCTTCTTTACCAGCTGGTCAAAGAAGGTCAGATTGTCCAGACGAGCATCAAAGGAGACACAAATTGGCATTGGATGCTAAAAGCAGTAGAGAACGCCGGGGACACCAGCACCTCGACAGCAGATGAAAGCGTGGCTGGACTTAGCCCCTTTTCTCCCGGAACCAGTACCGTACGACTGCGTCCTACTTCAACACTTGATGATCTTGGTCGTGCTGCGAGTGATCGGGAATTTTTTCGTTCGTTGGCCAAGTCTTTGGAACCCAAGTATTCATCGGATGTTGAGAGGATGATCAACTCAACGCTATGACAGTACGCAAGGAGGCTGACCAATTCCTGGGACATGGAATGACCAGGGCCACTGTGGATACGATCGGGTCTCGCAACTATGGCACTGACATAAATGGCAGTGATATTGACTATGTGCTGAACGTTTCAGGTGTGTCAATCCTTAAGGAATCGTGGAGAAAGTTTGCAACTGTTCTCAACGAATCCATAACCCTGAGAGGTTGTGTGATCAATGGAAGCAAAGGTATTTCCATTCATTTGAAAGAAGATCCGGTGCTCCAATTTGTGCCGAGGCATGGGGATTTTGAGTATGGCAATGTACCATACTCAAATCTCATCGCAGGGAAGGAGGATCGTGACGAGATGGAGAAGAAACTGAACTCCTTCTTTGAAAGCTATCAAGGAGCCAGGAATGCTGCCCGAGTTTTGAAGGGTTGTCTCACTAGTTGTGTCCAGGATCTGCCAAAGCAGCCTTGGTCCCTGATACTGACGCACATGCTTTTTCGAGAAGCCAGACACTGCAACCACACCACTGACGTGGACGGTCATGACTTGTTGCGTCACATGCTGCGAGACCTCGCATGTTGGAAGCTTGCCCCGGAAGACTCCTCAGCACGGATGATTGAAAAATGGGCAAAGAATGCTGGGTCGGAAGAAGTCCAAAGCGCAGTCTTGCTAGCTTTGAACAGATGGAGCGACATTTGCTCTAATGTCCACAAGTGTGCAGAAAAATATTTGGGCCCCAGCAGCCAAAGCGAGGGAAGGAGTTGACTATATGGTGAGAGCCTGACTGATAAGATTAGATTTTCAGCTCAAAGAATCTCAAAGAGGGATTCCTAATCATTGAAGAGAATCGAGGCAGGCGTTTGTTTTTGAAGTATCAGTGAGCTCAACATCCAGATGTGTATATACTGAACTGCTCCAGCTGATCCAGGACATTTCATACGTTTCGCCTCACTGACTTGGTCCCCTTTCTTCTTCTTTGCCCTCGAAAGGCCTATGTATTCAGGACGACCCGTGGTTTTTATCCTTTGCGGATGACTGGCATTTGGGGTCCTGATCGCTGACATGATGTCGCAGGGGTTTCTGTTGCCGAGGGCGTTTTTGAGCAGAGTCTATAAGCCCCTATAAGCAAACCTTTGGCGCAAGAGAGAAGCGATCCTTGAAAAGGTTTACACTCGGAATCGCTGACATGGAAGTGGAACCACCTCTTTGTAGCGGAACATGGTCATGCAAGGGGCCATTGTCCACATCCATCATTGTTTCCGGGAGACCACAGTTGCAGCATGTTGCAGCCCATATCCATATCCTGTTTACTGTCATCGTCAAACAAAATACCTCTTCCCCGAGGAACACACCTGTTTTGAATGCCTCAAGGTCGGAATTCAACGTCCAGCACTTGACTCGCAGAGAACGCAAAATGATGTGGGCATGAGGGATTGGTGTAGGTATAGATCTTCTGGAATTGATCTACATAAAATATGTGATGTATTCTGAGATGTCCACTTTGATGTATTCTGAGATGTCCACTTTCAATCAGGGCACAAGCTAGTGTCTAGGGGTCATCAAGGTTATATGTTGCACTCGCAGCTGGTAGGGATTATATTTTCAATGAGAGAGGCAGATTTCAAACGATTCTATTGGATCATTGCATGGGGTGGGACTGAGATGAGCACCGCAGCAGGATCGATAATGGCTCATGAATGTTTAAATGCTGCCACAGTACAACAAGCTGAATTGCTGGATGTAGAAATGTACTGTAGCGACTCCAAATCAACAGAAGACACAGCTAGAGAAGACTAACTATATTTGGTACCGTGAAGAGATTCTCCGTTTGACCAGTCCAAGGCTGAAGTTTTCTTGACACTGAAGAAGCAGACCCGGAGGAAATCATTTCTTTGGAAGCAAGACTGTGATCGCTTCGCCTTTAGGCCTTATCCTTAAGACCTTTGATCGCTTTCGACCCACGAGATCCGCGGTTCTCGTCTCCACGAGATCCGCGGTTTCGGTTTCGGTCTCCGCGACGCCATGAAGCGAAGTTATGAGGAGTCAGGCCACTCTTCAGGCCAAGTGAAGACGACCACTTGTTGAGGTGGTAGTGGTTGAAGTCGTAGTAGGAGTAGGAGTAATGTGTAGTAATGATTATATAAAAGAACTAGTTGATTCAGGCATCGTTGAATATGGATGTTGAAGTGCAGTGTTATGCGCGTTGCTGAACTTTGTCCTGATGTCAATGACCAGACCATTCCAAACTACGGCAATTGATACGACACCATTTGTTTGAATCCTCATCAATACAAGTTAATGGTCTGACCAACTGTGTTTTTTGAATCAGATATTCAGGTTGCCAGATTTAATCCCAGAAGCAACACATAGTTGGTCAAACTGACAGAGATTTTGAGGTTGGCACATCATTTCTCACATTGTGCGTTACTGTAAACCCCATGCCACGCACCATAGTGGGAATTGTTGCCAGCCGATGACTCTGTCCCGGACCCACTTGTTGGGTTCTCTCAAAACCCTGTGAGCCTGTGAGGCTCCAAATGGAGTCGAAGAGATACTGGCCTCAGAATGAAGTACTGCTTGAAGGCAGTCGAAGACATGGGACGTGTCGTTGGATGCACGGGGCGCGGCAGTATAGAACTCTGGGTACGCGGTCCGCGTCGCACACATGAACGAAGTAGCAACGAATCGAGGTGCTGGGAAATTTGAGATAGATAGAGAGAAATGTGTTGCTTGTTTGTTCGGGGAGGGGAACTGTCCTTCGTCGTGGACCAAGTTGCCAGTAGTACTTGAACATGCAAGCATCTCGGTCTAGAATACCAGATGCCCACTTCCAAAGTCATGAAGCCCAAATGGATATGAAGATTGGTTCTTCTATCTATTTGGGGACGTTTGCCACTGACGTGCCGAAAGTCCCCGGAGAGTGCTGCACAAAACCTGTGGGATGGCGTTGAAATGGATCCAACCCAGTGCATTGCTGTCCCAGAAACGTCCGGAAGAGTCGATCATCACAAAGACACATTGGTTGTTCCAGCAATGGCTTCATGCGGCCTCCGGAGGTGCCTCTGTGGAAACCCACCCTAAGACCTATGATTTGTTTGAAGAGAACATACCATGGGCCTAGTCATGGGCCTGTAGCACCGATGGCATGTCCAAAAGCCATCCTTATGGCTGTCCCCCCAAAACTTGCTTTTGCATGGACGGATTGTTATGTTTATTCCCTTAAAGAAGCGGACTCATTTAATTTGCTTTGTTTCATCCATGTTGAGGTGGAGAGCGTTCTGCAACCCCCATCCTCATCACTCCGTTCACCGGTGAGGCGTTGATCCCGGACGTCTTCGCCAGCTCGTTGCTCCGCGACAAGGGCGCTCTGAAGGAACAGCTCCAAGAGGAGCCCGGTGCACCGGTGAAGTGAAGCAAAAAGAGAATGATGAAGTGAAGTGATGTGAAGTGCATTGAACTGAATGAAGTGATGCGTATGCCTTCAGCACGAGGTAACAGTGACTGCCATACGCTCCGTGCTCGTTCGCCCTATGGGGCCGCTTTTTGCCTCGCCCAAACCGGTCCTTCGGCTCAGGAGTCTGGATCGAGATTGGTTTTCAGCAACAAAGGAGACTTCTTTCCAGACACTAGCCTTCGGGTTCTAGGAGCGCCTTAGCTGCAACGAAGGCTTTAAGTCTTAATTGATGTTCTTCTTTAATCTCTATCTTTGGGTGAACGCAGCTCAGTCTCTAAAGAGCCTAATCATGGACTTTAGATACGAATACATACCCTTGGGGGACCACTGGCCGTTGTTGTCTTTGTAGAACGACCGTCAACACCGGCAGAGACAAACTCCAATTCTTCAATCTTAGTGACTTTGACATTGATTGCAGACATACCAAAGGACACCTGCGTGGACTTTGTGTAATATGTATACATATGTATACTATTATAATTCTATATATATATATATGCAGATAAAGTCATAAGAGAAACACAAACATTGATTTTTTTTGTCAAATGCCATCCAAGTTCCACCTCTCCCCAGACCCCCTTCGGGCACCTCGCGCGAACCTGTCGGTCGCCCGGTCGTCACCGTGCCGTTCGGTGCCTCAGATCTACTCGGACCTGTCGGGTGCGGTGGCACAGGCGCTCGAGCTGATTCTGGGTCCGGGCCCCGGGAAAAAAGGGAAAATGAAGGGAATGGCTATAGTTTTTAGCCTCTTTTTGGATGCCCATAGTATTTGTTCCAAACCCAAAAAGGTGATCAGATGGCGATCATCTTCAAGAGACATGCCAAACAGCTGCCAATGGCTCTGAAGAATCACGACGTCTTGGAGTTGTCAGGCCGGATGAAGGAGCTGGCGCAGGAGACCGGTGCGTTGGAGCGCATGTGACAAACCGAGCATGACTTTTCCTGTTGAGTGGAAGGAGTTGGCCCATAGATTGGACAAAATAATACATAGACATATAGACCGTATATTCAAGTATATATGCCAAATCAAGCAACAGCACGAGGCTTTGCACGATTCTTAGATGTATCATGATGTTTCGATGAGACGCATATCAATGAGACAGGCCGGATTTGAACAATCATGCAGAAGAATGGACCGTGAGCAATATGATCAATATGGTCATAGATTTGGGCCTTTAGTACATACAATCCTTGTTGTAGCTCGCATGGCGTCTCCTGTCCATTTGCTTTTTTAAATCTCAATTCGGAGTCACAAACAAAACCAAGCATTGATTTCAGAATGGCAGATGCGTGCCACAATTCGTTTCTGCCGGCGGCCTTCCACACTTGCGGTTCGACTTATTTCACACCCCCGCACTGCTGGCGGATTTGCCACATCCACGATTTTGACTACAGCCATGTTCACGGTTGCGGTTACTCCCCCTTGATTCATATTGCAAAGCCCCAGATCGTGTCTGGGCAACCTGGCCTACTCCCGCGGGTATATAGCACAACTACTCGGACTGTGCGCGGACTGAGCGAAGACAGTGGGCTCCAGCAAGGTCCTATGCAGCAATTTGTTGTTCTTGCAATACAGTGGTTTTAGAGTGGATGGCACAAGTCCCAAAAGGTGGTTTGTATGGACCCTTCTAAGACATCTTGGGGTGCCAGTGCCATCTACTTTGAAACCACTGCATTTTGAACGGAACGGGAAGGTGGGAGCTTTCTCCAGCTTCAGCCATGCTGCCCAAGACCCACGCACGACCGCACAGTCTTGTTTGGTTTGTCGAGGATGAACGAGGCCGATATCCGCCACCGGGGTGTGAAATGCTTGGCAAAGAAGAAGGTCCGGGCCGCTGGAAGAACATGTGTCTTGATGATTTTTGATGTTGACATGACTTGGTTGATATCCTTTCTGGGTATCACGTATCCTGACCTGGTACACTTGATACCTTAACCCCCAAAGAAAGCCCTCGCTGCTTTGTCCCACATCAGGATGAAAAGGCCCGAAGAGATCCCATCAACGTAGGAATTCCTGCATACTCCGAGTGGAACCGTAAAATTGGCTGGGTTGTGCTGTTTTCTTTTAACCACTAGAAAAGTACATTCCAATTGGGTGTCCCTGAAGCCACATTGAAAAACAACCTACCATTTTTGCGAAGTGATCATCAGCTTCTCCAAACGTCAGCTATTCTGAGGTGAGTTGATCTTCAGGCTCGTCCTGTCGAGAGAGATGCAAGGGACCTGGAGACAAAGACAGAAGCATATATGAAGCAACAACAAAAAGCACATGGTCCAAGCTTGTGTATATGGTCCAGAGATGCAAGACAGCCACATAAGCTTTGACCATTTGCTGTTTGCCGGACTCTCCATGTGGCTGTCCATTTTGGAACACGACTTCGCCGGGCTAAGCACTCCAGATGAAGAGGTTTTGCGGTATGAAGGGGATCCAGATCACTCCGGTTGATAGGTTTGTGTTTGTGTCTCACTAATTAGAAATTAGCTTCCAGCGGAAGTCCAGAGATCGCTTCGAGAACTCCTTCTCTCCTTTTCCTCGCCTTCCTAAGGACTGGGCTGCTGATTGGCAGTCAAGGTGCCCGGATCAAGCAGCTTCGGCAAGACAGCGGCTGCAAGGTGCGGCAGCCCGGGCCCAACGGGAAGAGGAGCTGCCCCTGAACCGCCCCTGGGCCGAGGAAGGCATACAGAATTGGCTGATGAGCATTTCCACAAGTGATAAGTGTTTTGATTTTTGTGAGTGTGGGCATTGCACCCCAATGGGTCACCCCAAATACCCTGGTGGTCAATGATCTTAGTTCACTCTTAATTTATATATATATATATTTATAAACCTCCTCAAGTCTTTGATCCTCACTCTTGCCGAGTAGCATCTCCACCGGCTCAGCCCCCCCGATTTCCACTGCTCCAGCGCCCATTTGCCATGGCGGCGTGTACCACGGTGGACGTCCTGGTGCGCGCCCTCGGCGGCGAGGGCACACCGGTCACCTTGCGGCGTGGCGCCGCAGTGTCAGAGGCCAAGAGGATCCTGGAGGCCAGGCCGCGGTCGGTCTGAAGTGTTGAAAGAAACTGCATCCATTTCATGTTGCCCGATTTGTAGTCCGTGCCATTAATATATTTATATTGTTTCAAGAAAACACGCATCCATCTCTGCATGAATCTTGGCCCGTACCTTCAGAAACTGAAGCCACAGCACCAAGATTTCGGAGTTGTCGCCTGAGTCGCCTGCGCCATCATCCTACATCCACCTTACCCCAAAAAGGCTCTCCATCCAGCCAGGATGTTTTGGGCATCCCAACCTTGGAGCAGCGCTTACTCCTTGGCACCTCCATCCTGGACGATGAGGCGGAGCCTTTCCTGGACATGGCCCCGCTCACGGAGCTGCAGGCGGCGAGACGATGTTCGTGAGACGGTGTGAGAAAACGCACCACGCATGGTACCTGAGCTCTTTTTGGGGGAAGTAATGAATTTAGGAAACAAACATTATGACAATGTTGAGTACCCAAACCCTCCAGCAAGCAAGTATGTGTTTGAGTTGGGAGATTCCACTTAAGGGTGCTTCTGTGTTCGTGTTTGTTTAAGCAGTTGCAGATCTGGCCATTCAAACTGATATAGCAAACACTTAAAGCTTGAAGGGACATCAATTCTTCAAAATCATTCAAACCTTTGTGTGGTTGCTATGTTTGTTCCATCAAGATAAAACAAAAGTGCATGCTTTTCACAAGAAAAAACAACGACAATAACATCCACAACCACAACCACATGGCTTGCAACTGTATCCAACAGATGGTTGCAGCATTGGCTATTCCAGGTCCTCAGACAACCTCGTTTGACGCTGGAGCAGTTTCGGCAGGAGTTGGGGCATGGCTCCTTGGCAACTTGTGGAAAGCTATAGGTGGGGTTGTTGAGACTCAGGATGTTTGAGAGTGAACATGCTGTTCTCACCGCGTGTTTGGTAGGTATATTTATCCAGGTTTGTTTACCGTACAGGGTACACCACGCCAAAGGAATCAGGAATCCATTTGACATGTCCTTCTTTGTCAGGTTCTTGAAGCAAGGATTTGCCATGGAGTTTCTTTCATTATGTTTTGGCAGCGACACTTTCAAGTCAACCTTGGCCTCCCTTCAGTGGTGGCCAAGTCATTGAGACATGTTGAACAAAAATCCTCCCACAAGGACACAATTTGTACCAATTTGGACATGAATCTCTTTTGTGTCAAGAAGATGAGTCCAGGACTGACCGAGTCAGACAAATATATAATATTTGTACAAATATTAGATTGATCTTCAATGGATTAGAAACATGTATTTTTTGTGCAGTCATATATATTGGAAGTACAACATGTCACGCTGTCTATGACCATCCACGCTGGCCAGAGCGGGGACTTGAGGTGAGACGCCCTTTGAACTAAACTTGCTCCTGGCAGAGGCAGTGCGCCTAGAGGAGCCAACGGTGGCCTTAGAAGCTCATCAGATGTTTGATGAGTTTTGGTGTGTGGTTATCATTGTTTGTTTATGCAATCCATGACAGTGATTCTGCATCATATGGTTCACCTGCTTTAATACAGGATCATATAAGTTTTATACATCAAGCGACAGGTCAGAGAATCTTTGGTACGGATCAACACCTCTGTCAGCGGACTTGATCAGAAGAGTCCGCAGAAGCCAGATGGGTGCGCTGCTTCATACTAGGGGGACCTCACAAGTGCTCCCTGGAAGAATAGAATTACATAGACCAACGCCTAATTATTGGTTGTTGTTTTTTCACTGCAAAAAAAAAGACCACATAATGAGCTCAACAAGATCAATGGGCCAAAAACCCAGTTGGTTGGGATTCTCTCTTCATACACACACCCAGATGTCTCATGTATGGATCTCTCTCTCTCTCTCTCTATACACATATTTATATGCAAAGTCCAGCTCGATTTGCTCGGATCACCAGTTTTGGACCCAGGTGCCGTGTTGGAGTTTCTTGGACACCTCCCTTCTAGAATTTCAGATGTAAGCAACCAGCAGCCATCACGGAAGAAACTTGGAGGATATGTTAAGGATATACACATGATATATAATATGCAAGTCAATTCTTTCAGAAGTGGACCAACCAGAGTGATTGTAAAAGAAGCTTGTGCGCGCTTTGCTTTTTGTGCTTCATTTGGATAAAGCTTTGTGGATGTGTGAACTGTGCGTCCCTGACCTCCCTCACGTCCCCTGCTTCCAGTCCGTCCCTGACGTCCACGTCCCGCGTTTTCGGCCCGTAGGGCATGACATGTGCCCTTTGACATCCAAGGAAATTGTGGACCACCCAAACTTTGCCGAGGGGGAGACTTGGTTTGGTGGGTTTGGGGCTGTGGAAGATGATGTATGTACTATACGTCTCGGGACTCGTGTCTGTTTTTTTGCGATGAACTGGGCATGGGTGGAGCAGCTATCGCTCAACTATTTGGACCGATGAAGCGAAACGAGAAGATCATACCAGCTGGTTCTCATATCGATTCATATCTATCATCTGGGTTTCTGGACTATTTTTCACCTTCATCTGGGTCTGTTCTCAGAAGCTGATTTTACCTTCTGGGTCTCTCTTTACCTTCATTTGGTGCTATTCATATCTATTCATCGCTGGAGAGTTGGTTCTTGCACCTGGGCGGCCATGGGTGACACGGCCTGCTCCGCACGGTTCCAAGCAGGATGATCATCACGTTTGAGTCAGGTGACTGTTCAGCAAATCGAACGTGTGTGTTCACAGTTTCTCCTTGACGAAGGACTATACCTGGCTTTGTAACCCATATTCTCATGGTTCTGTGCACCACTTCCATACCGCCCTTCCGAAGTTGGCTTCCACTTTGGTTCGTCTTGTCACGTGAATCCCCGCGTTCCCCTTCCCGCAGCCGAGGAGATGACGATCGAAGAGCAGGGAAAGTTGCTGAAGATCCTGGCCGTTTGGGGTCCAAGATCTGTGGGCGCTTGTGGCGGTCAGAAACCAATCGGACACAACTGGCTGGCGCATGCTGGCGCAAAAACCCTTTAGTGGTCACGGGGGACCATATGGTGGTCATTGCCGGTCATGTTCTTCTTGTCCTACCGTTATTTTAAGAACAACACCACCAGAGAAGCAAATGAATGTGTCCAGCTCACTCTGGAGATGATCTTAGTAAAAGGTTCTTAAAAAAAGAGCCTCTTTTGATGGTCGACATGTGCTGTGTCCATGGGCTATCCAATGTCTTGAAATTGCTCGGGTGTGTCTCATGCCGACCTTCCAGGGAATCCCCTGAGCCTCTCCAGGGCTTCTGGAATCTTCTGGACTTATTTTGAGCAACATATACTCTGATTCATAAAGCCAGCAGGAAGCAAACAGTTTTGCACACACACACACACGACACATACACACAAAATAATTTGTACGAGTTTTTGATATATATATATATATACAGTATATTACATATATATATATATATGTTTTTCTTCTTGCGTGTGGTGACCTGAACTGCTTGGAGAAGCCATCTATGTATATAAAGGTTGGTCGCCATCCCCTGGTGATGAATTGGTCGCCTCGCCTGGTGATTCAAGCGCAGCTACTGTGGGAAGGACTTCCGCGATCGTAGGCGCCTCTTGGGTTTGGTGGACACCATGCCTTTTTGGTGGGAGGGGTAGATCTCCCACTGAGGTTTGGGGGGGTTTTGAACATACAAGACTATAGGATCCGTACATATTATCACATCGATGGACTTAATCCAACTGAGTGGTGTGAATTGCCAGATGGGCTTCAGAGGTGTCCCTTTACGGCCTTTGTACCACCGAGGGGGATAGTATCCCAGTCGGTCTATGGTGGCGACCCCCGTTCGACCCGCTGGTCCGAGCGGGTCGTCGACCAGGTGAGTGGCTTTGCTGCAGCCTTCGAGGGTCTGGTGCAGCATGAGCGGGTGGGCCGACGACCAGGTGGGGCAGAGATGGGAAGGCGAAGTTGTTAGATAGACCCCCTAAATAGAAAGAGAAGTAGAATCCGTTTCTTGGAGCCAACCAAGCAGAGCCCGGTGGTTGCAGCATTGTGGCACCCTGTATATAGAAAGCCACCGATGGCCTCCAAGGAGATGTCTTCGTAATCCTAGTGGACTCTACAGAAAGTTCTGAGAAGTCAGTTTCATCCTATTCAACTTGTAGGACAGTTTTCATATGTTTTCATCACTCAGCTCCGAACGGATGGGTTCACGAGCATGGATTCGCACCTGGTTGAATCGTGAACTTCTTCGATGCGAGCGTGAGGAAGATTTGGCATGATGTTTCTTGCTCAGGTGTGCTGGACAAGGGCTTCGAAGCACTGCACCATGCTGCTTCTCGCGGCTTGCTCTTACACTGCCAGTCTTTGCTGAATAGTCCGGACTTCCATGCAGCCGGGTTGAGGAAACAAGGGACTCTTTGATCTTCAAAGCCGGGAAATCTTTACTATTTTTTGCTGTTCCTTTTGCCTTTGCAGATCACACGCATGCCCAGACTGGGCGCCCAGACTGGTGCAGACTCGTATCTTGGCACACTCTCCTTGCTGTGTACGGCAAAGGACCTCCGAACTCCAGCCGCGGTAGAAGAGCTCCGCTCCGCTCAGGAATACCACTCCGCTCCATCACGCTGCCAACGAGAAGGTGCTGGAAACCCTGCTGACGTGTCCCGACCTAAGAACTGACAAGGTCTTGAACGCAAGAGATCGATATAGCTGCACCTGCCTACACTATGCCAGCTCTCCCGGAGCATGTCAGATGATTCTGAGCCAGCCTGAATTTCATTCCATCAATGCTCAGGAGCCGACTCCATGCGAAAAGATCGTTAATGTTTGTTTCAAAGAAACCTTGAGCTCCCCCGAGTCAGGTCCTAGTCAATTCACCAATTCGCCGCATGGACTTGCTCTGGACTCTTTTCATCAAGTGCCACCGCCATGGACTTGCAAGAAACATCCAGAACAACTCTTCTAGCAAGTCAGCATTTGGTCATAACCCATAAGCTGGCTAGTATATGTATATAACTCTTTTTTGTCCTGTGCAGCAAAGGCAACAATCAAAATCAAAGGGATGGGGAATCTCAGGAAATCTAAAACGCATAGGTGGGGAATGCCCAAGTCAACTCTGGATGACGTATATACTTGCCCAACGAGGTGCTGCGATTTTTTGGAACATCATCCCTCCTGTCGCACTCATGTCCCTCATTAGATTGGATGCTAATTAGAAGCCTTTCACCTGAGCACACCTGTCCTTCGCCAGGACATCGGTGGGCGGACGGCCTTGCATTGTGCGAATTCGCCCGGGGTGGCGGAGGAGATCCTGCGCCATCCCTCCTTCGACTCCTTGAGCGTCACCGACAGCCTGGGCCGCTCTGCGCTGCACCTGCTGTGCCGGAGTGAAGCGATCGCGGAAGTGCTGCTGAGCGTTGAGATGCCACAAGAGGTCTTAGATTTGTTGGAGACTTGGGAGTTCTCTTGGAGACTTGTTTGGTTTCCGTTGTGTGTTGTTTTTCTTTGCGGTTTGGTTTCCGTTGTGGTGCCAAGCATGCCTAGAAACTGTTGGTTGAGTTCTAGTTGCTAACAGGTTTGGTGGCTGGGTGTTTAAATGACAGGAAGTCTATTGTCCTGTAAATGAAATCATGCCTGAAGATCTGATGTCGTGACACTTCACTGAAGACGGGGGAAAGGTCCCAGTGGTATCAAATCACGGGTGGTCGAGACAAATCCAGCTCTAGTATGTGTTGCAGACAATGTCTTCGCCCATCATACATACATCAATATATATATATATACAGAGTTCAGGTGCTTTGACAATGGTCCCACCTTCGTTTTATTGGGGCTTCAAGCATAGTGCTGCTTATATATACCGATAGGCCCTCATGCAATTTTCCTCCTCCACCTCCTCCTCCTCCTCATCATCATCGGAGACAGGCAGTTTTCATCACTTTAATATAGCCAGAAATCTATTTGCCACTCACTCGGTAGACTCTCAGCCGATCGGAATCGTTTGTGGCTGCACCAGTTACCCATTGGTCAAAAGTAGTTCCAACATGCAACCTTCTTTCCCACTGAAACGACAATCAGAATCACGGCGCACATCAACATGTAACAAGACGAGTAGTAGACAGAGTTAAACTCTGTCTAGTAGATCGTCTACTATTCGTCTTGTTACATATTGGTTTTTGCAGTCTCCTACTTTTGTTTGATCCTCTTGATGTTGTTCCAGTGCTTCTGTTCAATTGGTCTCCTTCCCACCGGAACATGTGCCCCTGGCAGCAAGGGCCCACATGCCTCGGACCGCGCGGGCATTGTCGCGTTGAGGACAAGCGCGGTCGCAGCGCCCTGCACTTTGCGGCCAGCGAGGCCGTGTGCCGAAGGCTCTTCGCCAAGGGCTTCAGCCAAGTCAACGCATTGGACTCCATGAAGCGCAGTGCCTTGCACAACGCCAGGGATGCCGGCGTAGCCAAGGCGCGGAGTCGGCACGTCACATGTCGACCCCACCGGGTTGGCGGTGAAGTCGGGGGAAGTCAGTGGATTGCGCACGATTTGGCGGTGCTGCGCAAGTGAAGTGGTGTCACTGTGGGACATGAGCCTTTGAAGAGGCTATAGCTGGTACTGGAGGACTTGAACTATGATGAGCACATACGAACACTAAAACAGGCAGAAGTCCCATAGCAGCTGAACCGACGTGGCATTTTTGCTCGGGGCAGATCCCGTCCAAACAGCGGGGGCACGCTGCAACTCGTGGGAGGAAGAAAACCGGGGGATCGGTCCCCAACAGCAAGGACGCGAGCTGCTCGGTGGAGGCCATCGCATGTAGGTTGGAGGCCATCGCTACTAACAAGAAGCTACTAGTAGTAGTGGAACAGTCCGGTATCGGTCCCAAACACTGCCGGCAGGCGATTCTGGAACATCCGGACTTTGATCAACTCAATGTGCCTTGGACTGGGCGAGGACGGACCGGGCGGGGCTTGGGCGCCTGGCAGGCTTTGGGCCTCGCTGGGCGATAGCACATGTTTGCTGCGATGAAAGGTCCACTCAACCTTCCAGGTAAATAGAACTACTTTCATCTAAGACGTGAAGATATGATAAGATATGTTTTGTGTCGGTTTTGAGAACATCTACCCCCATTCCTCTCCTACCAGGCTTCCCAGCTGAACCTGGACCTGCTTCCTTCCCAGGCGCGCTCGGAGCCGGGGCATGAGACGGCTCTGGCGTACGCGGCGGCCATCCGAGACGACGCGATGGTCCGGGAGTTGCTGAGGCATCCGGGCCACGAGGCGCGTCCAGCCGGTGCAGGGCCGGATGGACCCGGAACGTGAAGGGAACGTGAAGGAACTGAAGGTGGGACCTGGGGATAATTGACACATTCTATGCTCGAAGTTTCACATCCGTCCAGACCGTGCGTCCCGGTGGATCTACCAATTGGTATATATTTAAATCTATATATGTGTTTTGAACTTCGGACATCAATGCCTATAAAGTCTTAAACAGATCATATCAATTACTGCATGCAGATCGAATTTTGCTGGCTTGAATTTGAATGAGGTTTCTTCGCTTGAAAATGGGAAGGTTGCCTAACTCATGCGAGCCATCCTCATCAGGTCGAGTCACTCCAAGCGGCTTTGGAGTTTTCATTTCAGCTTCAGCCCGAGACGCAAGCCTTGTTGGAAGAGAAGCTCAAGGGTGAGCCACAGCCAACTCATATTTGCCAGATTCTGTGAAGAGATTGTCGACCAGGGGATCCAAGCTGTCGCATGCGCGAACCTTTGGTCGCTTAAATGGAGGAGTGCCTTGGTCGATGACCTTTGATTACCCCCTCCGTTTACAAACGCTCAAGAATCTTCATTCGCCACTGGTCAGGTATTTGAAAAACACGCTATGTTCGGAGACCCTCCGAATCATGGGCAATGGTCTGAGTCCGAAGAGAATTGAAAGGGTCAGTGAGTCAAGAGATGTCAAAAGTTTGGGCAGTGGCTTCGGCTAATTTTATGTTCAACCTTTACTTGAGATGACTGATCCCACCAACTCATAGTTTTTCCCAAGAGGGTTAAAACCACCAAGCTTCAAGCAGCAAATGTTTGGGCAGCTTCGGTGCTTACTCAGATTGATTTGCTGGCAATCAGGCTCGAAGCCTCGTTCTCTTCCGCTTCATTGGATGATTTCCAGAGGTCCCCAGACCTGAAGTCAGCCCTCGTAAGAGGACATCATTACGCTTCGTGTGGCTGCGGCTTAATCGTATGTTTTGCTTTGAATAGGTACCAGATAGACACTGGGCAGACAATATGCATATATAGACATAGATTATAGTTATTACTGTAGATATTTGTTACTTTTAAGAACATACACAAACATGAAAAAAGAAAAAGCAACAACTGCAATCCATGCACAATCATCTCGAGCCACAGCCGCATCCTTGATGAAGTACTGTTTCTAGTGCTGTTTCCAACCTTTTCAGGTGAGAGTATGCTCCTGTACAGCTGAGCTGAGCCCAACGTCTGAAGGCAAAAAGGACATCGACATTGCTTTTCAACTGAGCATTTTTGAATTTCATGAGGTTGCAGATTGCTGTTCTGTGTTACCGTGATTGTTTTTTAGGGGTAATTACTGTTTGTTTGGGAACGGTGCCGCGGCGGCAGTTCTTCTTCCAAGGACTCAACAATCGCGCCTCACCTGTAGGTGGTGCAGAATGTTGTCAGGTCAGTTTTTTTGGATCCTGGCTGACCAACCAGAATGACAACGAAACACCTGGTACCCGCTGGTACAACCACATCAAATACAGTAAGTAGTGGATTCCACAGATGTGGTTGCTACAGTCCCAACCCAGAACAATTCCCACACTTGGCCCAGCGTTGGGTTTTGCAGATCAACATCCGCGACGAAGCTGTTGCTGCGTCATCCCGACAGGATTGAAGGTGTCAAAGATTGAGAGGTCACCATCCATCATGAAATATGTCGTGAACCTCACACAGTATCCATGGTTTGATGGCTCTTGATCCCATCGTTTGATCGGCACCAGCCGTTCATTGATGGGAAAACATGGAACACAACCAACAGCCTCGAGGCTATCAGCGACCTCTTGATATATCATATGGAATGAGGTCACTGGACCCCAAAAGAGACCAATTCAAATATTTGAAGAACCATTCCTTTTTGTTTTGCTGGGAAAGTCACTGGAAGAATCTCTGTGGTCCTTTGTTAATGTTACAGATTTCTTTGACCCAGCACAACAGCAACAACTCTGCTTGTCATGACCTTCCCGTTGCCAGCTGGACTCAACTCTTCATCGCCAGGCACCGCTTGGCCACCTTCTCCGGGCCCTTCGAGGCCTTGACCATCGCCCTGCAGCACGTGGCGGAGAACATGCAAACGGAAGCCGAGACCGAGTCCGACGAGGTGAGGAGGGCGCCGGGCATGGCCGGAACGGTTGGTATGGATGTAGCAATAGCATGATCGGTGGCCAACATGTCCATATATATATATACATCCATGTCCCTATGGATCCACATACCTTCTCAGAAGGTAATTGGGTCCCCCAAGCCTACATAAATAGTCTCCAATCACCTTCTGAGAAGGTATGTGGATCCATAGGGTGTGTTAGCCAGATCGAATTGGTGTGGGACACAAGCATTGATTCAAAAGATCTCCTGCGATGGAACCGGAACACCGTAGCATTTGGTAGCAAATTGGTATATCCGGTTCCGTAGCATTTAAGGGTTCATTTTGTAGCCAGAACCGGAACACCGTAGCATTTTGTAATTGTATCCTTGAAGTCCACATTTTGTTGCAGACACTTGGGGAGTAGTTGATTCGTTGATTCCCCAAGCTTTGTGACGCTCAAAGGTGTAGAGCTCGCCTCCTTCATATCACATGGATGGCTTCAAAGCACTTGCGTAGGGCCATTTCCACACTCACAGAATCACTCATGACCTTGAGTTCTTCATTGCAAGTAAGCCACGGGTAGATGAACAAAGGTGACATGTACATGTTGAATTTGATGGTACCCTGATTACCTGCAGATATCTTTAGATCCAATGGATGGAGCTTGGCCGCTCCACTGCCCAGTTCCAGAACTATGCAAAAGTCATCAACTTTGGCGAGGGCAAGGACTGGAAGGAAGGCTGGAAACTGGAGGAAACTGGAAGATGCTGTCAAAAGAATAAGGCCAGAACGAACATCATGTCTCTTTAGAATAGGGGTATCCTGGAATCTTTTTGATGAGTACCCCATAGGTTAAACATGACATCCTTTCCACCTGTTTCCCCGTTTCTTTGGTTTCTTGGAACGTATACCGGCCAGTTCCGCAGCCCACACCACCAGTTTCGAGGCGGTGGATGGGGCTATGACGCTCCGCCCGGGAAGGGCAGTCATGGCAGCCATGGCAGCGGATGCCCAGAGGGGATTTCCAGGGGAGGAGTCTTCTTGACAATGTGAAATTGGTGCTTGGCCGTTTGGGGTTTGTTGCAGTGGTGTCAACATGAACCATCAACCTCAAGTTTTCCAAGCCTTCCTGGTGAAGTATGTATGTGGCGACGCGGCATGTGTAGTATGTGTGGCACAGTCCAAACAGTGCAGATCTTCAGCAACGAAAAACACTGAACCGGTCCCAGGGCGCTGAAGAACGCGTAAATTTGGAACACCAGGAGGCCCAACCTTGCCCCACCTCGCCCAACCTGAAGTGCCTGAACCCCGCAACCCGAAAAACAGTGCGAAAGCCCAGCACAGAACATGCACTTTTCGTGAAGCTGGTCTCACTATGCCCTCGCTCCAATGATCATGGAAGTGGAACATAGGCCCGGAAGTTCCGGAAGTCCATCTCTCCATGATGCGAGGACGTTATGTTGAGCTTCCATTATTGTTTGAGAGGTGCTGTTCCCGCCTGAAGCGCAATTGGTTGTTAGCTTCTTGAAACGTGAAATTCCCGAAAAGATCCGAAAAGACAACTACAATTTTTATGTCTTAAGTTTTGTCACTCATTTCCGACGTTTGCTTTGCTCCTTGGGAAGTATATTTTATCAACAGTCCTGCTTGGACAGGCTCATTCGACAAAGCGAACCAGCGGCGAAAAACACTCGGCGGAGCAAGGTCAAGTCAGCGTCTTTTCCTCCTCCGGCATGGCCACAGCCACCGGGAGCTTATCGATGCGACTGGGAGGTGGGAGGAGTTCACAATCATCAAGGACGTCTTCGGTTCCAAGATTTGATGTTCGAAGATCACCATGGACCATATCACCTTACAGCACCACGTATATAATATAACATAATTCAAGCATATTCAAGCACTTGTTACTTCTCTTGCGGTTCCTCCTGACCCAACCGAACAGATCCTCAATCTCTTTCCCTAAGAATCTCACCGACCCGCGACCACACCGACGTCCTGTCGACGGTACCCCCGGCCGGAACCGCGGCGAGCTCGCTTCGCTGCCCACCCGAAACGCTCGCTTCCAGGCAAAGGTGCTGGGAAGCACGGCCAGGTGGGACGGTGGGACGGCCAGGCTGCGTGCGGTGGTTGGCCGTGCTTCGACTTGAAGCAGCCAGTGTTTTTTCACTGGCCCAGGTGGTCAAAGGTGCCACTAGGTGCCACAAAAGATGTAGCAGACAGTGTCAGGCACTGTCTCTGACAAGTCATTCATAATTGATAAAACCATCTGAGTATAGTATAGTTATATATATATAATGACTTGTGTAGATCAACTGTTATCCCAACTCAGCCACCTAAGGTAAGATGCGATTTGCACGCATCTTGCGATTCTTTGTAGATTAGTCATGGACTTTGCTTTTGCTAGGTGACACTGGAGGTAGCATCAAGAAACAGCAGAAGCCAAACAGGGATTTGAATCCTTGAAAGAACAGTTCCATTGAATATGACATGATTCCTTCAACTACATCGCTGTATTCTTCCGTGGTATGGTGGCAGCAAAAAATGCAGATTGCTACCACCATAGGGCCATAGGCCGGGTCATAGGGATTCAATATCAAAACCATTTGTGACTATACAAGGTTTTTCGAGTTGTTGGAAGGTGGTACGCGGGTTGGACCAAGCATCGTTCGCAGGCTTCAGGTGGCCTGCACTTGCTGGGGAAGGACGATGTGCTGATGTTTGCTGTTGTTATGCCAGTGTCTAGAACTTAAAAGTTCTACGCAGTGTCTTGTAGTATCCTCATTGGGCAGGTGCTTGGCATGTAATTGAAGGTCTTCTGAACTTGAGTTTATACAGAAACGGTCATATAGTCCTGTCATATACCTCTTGCGACCAACATGATCATCGCTCAAAACCGCCATGCCAGTCCATTAGATTAGTTGGCCACTGCGTCACTCAGTCTATCAGCCAGTCATTCAGCCGTTCACAAAGTCTGTGAGTCAGTAGCAGTTGCTGCGTTTTTGGCGTCGCTCCGATCAGCTGTCCATGCAATGATCAGCACTGTCCCAAACTAATCTTGATTCAAAGCGATTGTGGGCCAAAACCGAATATGTCACAACTACGGTAAGGGTACATTTTCTGCAGCCTGGGGCCTGTAAACTTTGCACAGCTGACCTGACAATCGAGCCGCCTCTCACAAGCAAGATTGGAAGCAAGAGAAGCAAGCCGTTGGGGGCTATATTGGACCCCCAAATAGATAGAATGAGATAGAAAAGTAGAGCCTCACTTAACAGGTATATATTGGAAACAGTTTCCATCTATTTGGGGACCAGTGTATTGTTTGTTGTTTGTTGCCTCTCCAGCGAGCAGAGCAGTCCTTGCGAACTTGGGACCCAGAAGATGCATTAAGCCTTCGAGGCGGGCGAGCCGTTCAGACTTGATATTGGTAGAGTTTCGATTTGTAGAATTCCTATTGCTACACAAGCTCTGAAACTCTCACCAGGGATGAAAAAGGGATATGAAATGGATACATTGATCATTTTGTGCCTTGGAACCCCGCTCCTTCCAAGCCGAGTTCGGTCGGCCACCGAGACCGCGCGGAAGACCGGACCCGTGAGGAGTTGGATTTGATGCCTCAGGGGTCTGCAGAGCAGGGGGCCCACTGGACATGGAGCTTGACCAATTCCAGTCACCAGTGGATTTGGTCTGTGACATCACTGTAGGGAAAGTAAGTAAGTTTCAAGGTGAAGAAGTATTTCTCTTTGGAATTCATGGGTGCTGGATCCACTGTGTGTAGTTGGTCTGTGACAGCATACTGTGGTAGGTAGCTGGGTCCAGCAGTCTGGTCCATCCTCAGGAGCATTGAGCAAGACTTGGTTTTCCTAGGACTCCAGCCATAAGTTAGACCCCTCAAAAAACCACCCTGACCACCTTCTCAGGAGGTAGTTGGAGCCCTATAGCTGCTATACCAAAACCTCCTACTCCGGTGAACACGCAAAGCAACCTCTTTGCGGACCGGGATCGCGGACTGTTGCGACTGGCCGAGGGACCTGCGACCTCAGGAGCACCAACCCTTCGGGCGTTCAGGTCGGGTCATCTCGTCGGTGCGCGACTGAGGATGCCCTACTCGATCAGCTGTGCAATACCGGCATGGGAACTCTGTCGAACCAATGGGGCCGGAGCTGGATGCTGCAGGGTGTAAGCTTTGGTACTGGGAGGATTGTCAGGTGATCGAACATTTCACGCAAGAAATCCAGATGAACATAGAAACCGCCTCCTGTTTGTCAATCCTTAAATTTGACGTGCTCAGAACGATGCAGGTGGATGTGGTGAGGAGACATTTGACAGTTTTACGTTTCTTTTGCATTTTCTGGCATTTCTGTCCAACCGATTTGTTAGCATGAATGATCCTGAATTCCTTACATTCATATGTTAAATTGTCCAACATGATGTCCCTAGATTCTTCAAATCTTCTGCACAGACTTCTTTATGTCCTTCAACAACATGATGGCTCATCCATCCACCCAGCCTCAACTGGCTTATCCTTTTGGCAATGGATGCTTTGAGGCCAACCTGGTTCCTGCTCTGATTGGGCGATCAGGCGACTTTATCAGGACGCCACCAGCCACGGCGAATCAGCGATCAACGTGTAAGTACTGGATGCCACGAGAGACTTGAGATTTTCACTCACCCGATCTGTGGGCTTCCCCAATCCGGAAGTACACGGTTACTCGATCAAACGCTGGGTTGGAGTCAAAGGACTAGCTAGTCTATCCTAGCACCCCTCCAACCCCCCTTATCACCCGCCACGCAACCACACACACACACCACCCATGCCGCCACAAACCACCCACACCAGGTTAAAAGTAAAACGCCCTTATATAACTCTTTAACAATATTAATATTAACAAAAAACTAACACCTCGCGCGACCACGACGGAACCACAGAAGCGCGACGCGCGGCTGTGAAGGCATGTCCGTCTCGCCCGGAGGAGCATCGAAGAAAGGACCGGCGCCAAGGTGGACATCTCTCGTGAGGCCACAGGCCTTGACGGCTACAGGACGGGCAGGGGACGGCGCGAGTGGGATGTGGGATATATGAGGGCCGTCCGTTATTGCCAGTGAAGGAATTTAGATGAAATGTTAAAACATACATGTCGCGAAAGGGAAACTGCTTTGTTGGACAACCCCCATATGATGATATATGTGGGATATAATATGTTGGATATGAGATGATATGAGTGATGGAGACGAGGAAGAAGACTGCAGGATTGAGATGAGAAACACTGTGGACACCGTTATAGCCGTACCGTAGAGCCGTTGTTAACCTTGATTTTTAGGGAAATGGAGAGGGTCAGACTGTGACTCGCAGGAAGATGGAATGTGTTGGGCCTTTGCTGAGCATCTACTCTGCCCACACCCTGATGATGCACCGCTTGCAGGTGTGTGGTTGTTGACATGTTTGACGGAGTTGCTGTACTGTTTACTGCTCAACAACAAGGGAACTTTAACTTTTATTGAATATGATTTGTTTTGTTCACAAAATCATAGTCAACATCCTCCTGCGCAGTCCATGCAACCAGATCGTCGCTTGCATCGTTTCACGGCGCTTTTTGTCATCCGGCTCTAGACGGCCTGTGAAAACATTTGCCTTGCTCATTTGGATTGGTATACAAGGTGTAAAGACATTGGCCTTTGTTACCATTGTCCTGCAAAACCCTGTTGCTCTGCAAAACACAATGTATAAATTTGGTCTTGCTTGGGTGGCAGCATGTTTGCAGTGAGTCCAATGGAACTGAGTCTGTCATGAGTCATGTTCCTTTATATTATTCATCTCTGGTTTTGTGTTGGTTTCGGATGAGCGGTTTCCATGTATCGGATTTTTAGCCTAGACCAGAGTTTGATATCCTTTCTCCCAGGGGGGGTGTATTCCGGGGTCAACTTCCTGACAATGGGAATCCGTTTGGCCTTGGTTCGATGCAGAACAACTCCGTCGCAAATAGCTGGAATCCTGGTCCGGCATGATTTTGATCTACAGAAGCTGAAGAATTCCCATTCCGTTCCAAACCAAACAGAGAGAGCTTCTGTGTGGAAGCTCAAGCGATTCGCTCAGGGCTTGGAGCCATCAGGCCCCTCTGGCCCCCCGCCGGGGTCCAGGACGAGAGCCGGCGGTTCACTAGACGCATGGCACAAGCCGGGAACTAAAATGTGTACAAATGCACGGCAAGCTCAAGGGCCTTTTGAAGATTCCAGGCGTTGTGGGGATGTTTTTTGTTGTTTCCTTCATGTTCTGTGCGATCTCAAGTGTTTCGGTTGTATCGGCCGGCGAGGAGACCGCGTAGCGAGCAGCCAGTAGCGACGGTGCCAGCACGGAGCTTTTCGGTGTCTCGGCGACGGGCACGCACCGTGTTCGATGGATGGATATGGATCCGGCTTAAGTTTGGGATGTGTCTTTTTCTGGTGAATGCCATTGCCGAAGGGCATGTCACTGGTTCAATGAAGAATGGTCCGTGCTCAGTCTATGGCTGGTGTCTTGTATTTCCTGAGCACTTTAACTTCGATTAATCATGGTAATGATATATGTAATATTATGTAGTAAAGGATCTAAGGTTGACAGAGATAGCTTCCTTGTTATCCAACAATAGCCATGTGTTAGCCAAGCTTTCAAAGGCCGCAAAGGGACCAGATATCCGGTACTTTTCACTGAGTCGGTCTTCGTGCTCAGGATAATCCTCCCAAGTCGCAGCTCGAAAAGCAGCAGGAGACGGATGCACAGGGCGGATGAGATCCAAAATGGTGAAAGAGCTGATGGTGACTCTGGGGCCGCTTTAATGTAACGTTCAGCAGGGGGGAAGCAAGTCTGAAAAGCTGAAGATATTGATGTATATTGTAGTTCCTCATTTAAAAAAGCGTCCACTACTAGAAAGTAACGTCTTTGATCAGGACCCGCAAGATGTAGTCCTTGCTGGACAACGCTTTACTCCAAGTGGTTGGTCTCAAACTTTTGATAATGGAGAGCCCAGTTTTGAATAGACTTTATATTAATGATATTAATGAGGGAATCCACCACAGAGTCAGCGGCTCACCACCCGGTTCGAGGAGCTGCTCACCACCATCGCGGAGCTGGAAAAGAGGTCGGCAACACCGAGCGTTGCAGCGCTTCCGCCGGGGGGGAAGCCGGGCGGGAGATGCCCAAGTCACTGTCGCTTCGCTCGCTGCGCGGCTGTGAATCCTGGAGCATAGAATCCAAAGGATGAAACAGGCAACGTGACGGAACATGCCAAAGCAGAATCCCATATCGGGGTCCATCAACGAACCCCTTTGTGGGTCCAGGAATGTAGATATATCCTAAGTAATTATGAAATACACATGACATATTTAAAAAAATACCAAACAAACATACACACCTGTGAACATATGACTCGATGTTAGTCTCGATCCTTTTTTTTGGATACACATGTCCACCCCACAAGATGACAATTTGCCTTTGGCCTCTCCTCGGCATCCAATGGCCCAAGGCTCGCCGTGGCCAAGCAAGATGCCGACACCGCCGTGTAGGGCGTGAACAGAGATTTTGAGCCCGAAGCTGGCGCCCAGAATCTATCAAGCGCTGTTGTGGTGGAAAACTGATTCAAACAAAATGACGTATCAATATGATAGATATTGCATGCTTGATTTAAACCTTGCGAAGATTCTTTGGAGTTGTATAACAGATTTATGCGGTATACCCCTCGCCCAACGTGGTGAATCATTCATAGCAACTTATGTGCGGCCGGGGAAAAATGTAGCGTGGTTTCTTGATTCTTGTCCACCTGTATGTAGCCTTTGTGCATTTTTGTGTTGCGAACACGTTCGTGGAAAATGGACGTCAACCCTGTTTGATATCACGTGCCTTCGGACAGACTCATCAGTGTGGCAAAGCCAACCACGTGATTCACTGATTTCCTGCATTTGTTGCGCTCTTGGTTCATGCCAGAGAAGCAGGTTTAATAGCGATGGCGATATCTTAGAGCCATTTTAAATAGCCTGGCCTGCCACGTCTCGGATCAAGAGTCAGTTTCGAAGGCTGAAACAGGGAACAGCCTTGTAGATGCCTGAGCACATTCCATTGCTTCCGGTGGTTCAAGACCAGCCGGCATGCTTGCATTCGATGGGAGTCCGCGATGTTTGAGCATGTTTGAGCTCATGTAACTATGTAGATTAGGGCAGCCTTTGACGAGGTTGTATGTAGATGATGTAGATGTACCTTTTAGCACTCATGTTGTATCGTTCAGCGGTCCGGGCTACCCTTGATATGTGAGCTGCGAGGATCAAGATCAATGCCCAGGTGAACTCCTTCCCATGGGCGGCCCGCAGGTCACATTTCTGTATGTCCGACACACCGCAGGTCATCTCTGTTGGACTGTTGGCATATGTCCATTGGATGAGGTGACACGAAAAGCCAGACGGGCCATCGAGTGACCGGAGCGGTGCTTCGAGTGGGTTTCGCCCAAACTGCCAGGCCAAGCAGCGGTTTGATGTCAAGGCCAGTTCTGGAATCGGTTGGATTCAGCAGTAGATGGACTCTTGAAAGAAAAAGGGCCATAGTCTTTAGCCGCCGAAGAAGTGTCAAGTTTTTTCATGGAGCCCGGTTAAAGAGGGGTGTTTTTCAGAGGGGGCTGGTACTTCAAACGAACGAAAGCAACAAAAGAGGGGGCTGGTCCGTGTCCCTTTCAACAGGGGCCTTCTCGGACCTTGCCATTGTGTCAAGCACCGGTGGTCAGTTCTGGACGGTCGACCAGGCTTCACCCCACGAGCTGGTCCAGGCGTTTGACTCTTCCCACAAGGGCTGAAAAGCGCACGGAATCAAAGGCGATCCAGACAGATCCAGACATTTGCATAGGGCCTATAGATGCCTATAGGGTGATGTTGTATTTTCCCTATGGTTTGAATCCCCTTCTCAGGAATATGCTTCCTTTTTTTGGATGGCTTCCTGGACAGCAAATCCATACATCCGAGACCTCCGGATGCCTTGAGGGTGGACCTCACACACGGATGCCTCGGCGTCCGGTCAGAAACGGTCTCCGGGATTTGGATCCACAGCCACATGAGGCTGGTGCAAAACCACGGAGTCTTGACGGTGTGTTGGTGATGTGACGGTGGTGTGTTGGTGGTGTGAGAGTTCTTGCAGGCGTTCTTTCAGTAGGAACCCATGCGCAGGTCAGGTGAAGCTTCCAGTCAGGAGCCGAGATGAGATGATGAAAGGAGTGTCCAGGCTTTGGGGACTTGCCTAAAGCTGATGTGTTTCTTTTAGCATAAAGATCCTGACACGCTGAGGAGAAGGTTGGTTGAGGGAGCAAATTCAACTATATAATTAGTTTGTTCAACTTCAAGGAGGCTAGATCAGAAGCTTGTTGATGTCCAATTAATTAGCCAGGTCCTTTACAGGCTGTGGCTCCTCCTTATTCTACCTGTGGCAGCTGATGCGGGATGAACTGAACTGGGAGAGGTGAGAGATAGAAGAGTATGCAGATGCGCATGTATGCGCTAAGGTCTCTTGGAGATCTTGATGCCACAAAGTGCGGTGAGTTCCCGAGCAGGGCTTTGCAGATCAGACCTTTGATTTGTCAATGTGGAATATGTGGACACGCAGGAAACTAACTAGAGCGTTGAAGTCCCTCATCATATCGATCTCAAGTACAGTGGGGTGGGGTGTAAATGCTTGCTTTATTCGTACTTGTACCGCATACTATAGTACTTATACCTAAACATTTGAGTCTTCCACCTTTGCTTGGACTTGAGGGGCCCAGCAGGGGCCCAGGATGTGAGGATGCTGTTGACCGTCATCACTGTTGAAAGCACAGTGGCGTGTTGGTGGACATCTCTCATGGGTGTCATTCCAGAGTCCATGTTAGTTTTCGGGAGGGTATATAGATAGATAATAGCAATGACCAGAGTCCATGTTAGTTTTCGGGAGGGTATATAGATAGATAATAGCAATGACCAGCCGTCCTTTCATGTTCAGTCCGCCCAGGGCACAAGATCCTCCCTGAGATCCGGGACGGCCACATCGTTTGATGCAAATGTCCGAGACCTAGCTGGCCGTGACACGCTTTGTTCTTGCAGTTATCCCTTGTTATCCAAGCATATCCAAGCAGCGGGACCTCCTCTCCAAGTAAAGTATTATATAGACTTTGCAGCCAGGTGCTGCATGTTTGTTTCAAAGGGTTTTGTGACTCCAGCAGCTGGATTCAGCAACTAGAATGCATATCGATACACTGCAACTTCTCCATTGCAAGTTCTCGCCACATCCACATAGTCACAGTCATCAATTTCCCCTCAAAAACAAACGAGGAGAGCTCATGATAGAGAACATGAGCTCGACAACCTACTGTACTTCCCCCGGACAAACATCTCCCAAATGCTTAGCTCTCCGAAAAGGAAACAGGACCAATTGCCCCCCTTGTGCTCCTCCACCAACCCAAATCCATCGAGACCCAACCCTGGCCCCACACTTCCACTTGTATATGTGCTGTGGACTTCATCAAGATATCAGATAACCAATAGATATCATCAATAGCACACCGATCACACATCTGCAAGTGAGATCACTTCCCAGCTCCAAAAAGACTCCCCAGTGAAATTCTACATCGGATCTTAGCCAAGAAACATCGGAACATATCAGATCCCACATAAACATCCCAGTAAACATCCCACATAAACATAAGGTGTTGTTCCTTTCCAGGACCTTCAAAGTGACCTCTTTGGAGTCTCTAAGTAACCTCATTCTGGGATCTCAAAGGGTCACTTTGAAGGTCCTGGTTTACATCCCTTTTTTCCTCTTCTTCACTCCTCAGGTGAAGATGCCCCCCGTCATGCCGCTGCCGCCGCCCCCGTCGGCGGCGGCCGCCCAGTGGGCTCAGCATGCGTACACGGCCAGTACGCAGGTGCCGCGTCGATGTCAAACGGGGCGAGACATGCGAGTCGAGTTTCACCTGTTGAGGTGCAGTCGATGCAGCGTTCTGTGAGCGTTCTTGCTCCAATTAAGGCGTTGTTTGAGGAATAAGGGCGTTGTTAGGAGATCCAAAATAGATAGGTTTAGAATTCTCAGGACATGTTTGAAACGAGATTCATGTTGCAATATGTTTGGTGGTCATCATCCAGTGTAAAACGAGAAATGATCTACAGATCGGTCGGGTTAACATTCAAGCTTTTTGGGGGCTGTTTCCCCTGTGGTCTACCATCAGCGATGTTCAGTTTGTTCATGTCTTTCAAGTGCGTAACGCATGTTTGCACAGCTCCAAAGGTTCATAATTCGAGAAGTAATTTAGACTCTTGGTTAGTAACCGCTACTCGTACTTTATGAACCAATAGTCAAGAGTCTCAATTACGATGGATTCTTGGCAACCTCCAGCGTCCCCTGCATCCTGCCGACTAACTGTTAACTGGTCCTTCGGCAGAGGATTTGCCACAAGTTGTTTGTATGTTGTGTGTTTGTCAGGTGAAGGATATGAAACGATGCGAAGGATTTGGTTCCAAGGTAGTTCCAAGACTACTCCATATCAATTAGATATGATTCATATTGACTCGTATTAAATGCTATATGATTTGACTAGACACTAGATTCGGTGATCAGGTGCACGTGGTTCACCAGTGACATTCAAGAGAGGATCCAGGATACATGTAGCTAGGGACACCCATGAGTAATGCCGTTCATGCCCATTGGATTGAGACAGTGTTGCTGAAAGCATTGATTTTAAGCAGACTTATTGATTGGGTGATGATTTTGGTGATTTTAAACAATGAAAGTAGTGTACGAGTAGAAGTTGTTCTCAAGCATGGGGATTAACTCCTGTTCCCTTTGCTGCATTCCATCATTTGTGAGGTGCAGTGTGTTCTCCTTTCGCCGCAGCTTAGGTTTATTTTTGCAACAAAAACCTTAAGTTTTATTTTATGAAGGGTTCACACTGTGTGTTTGCTGTCTATGCATAGGTTCCACACGATTCCGCTGCTCGGTCGTAGCGTATCTTTCGAACCCTCCTGGGAGGCCGCTGCTGCCAAGGCGGCCGCTGCAAAGGCAGCAGAGGTCGCGGCGGCACAAGCTGCTGCGGCACAGGCGATAGGGGAATTGATCTAGGAGCCGTTGACCACGGTTGAACCTAAAGAGGAGCGTGTACAGCATTTCCACCTACTTCTGAGTGGTTTTTCCAGCTGACAGCGCTTTCAAATACCCCTTTGGATACAATGCATCCTAGTGCTTTGTATCTAACATGGCGACAAGCACAGATTGTCCGTTTGTGGCTGTCACCCTGGAAGACAAATCAAAGTTCAGCTTACACTTGCAGGCCAACCGGAGGTTGGTAGTCTACAGTCATTATACTGATGGATTTCAGGAAATGTTCGAGATTGATCCAGTCAAGCTCGCATGTCACAGGCTGCCGCCACTCAAGCGCAAGTAGCACAAGTAAGTGCGCAGCAGGCCAGTTGTCCAGTGCGAAAAGCTTGCTTCTAGTTCTAGTACATCAAGGAAGCCAGGGTCCAAATACAGCGGGTAAGAACAAAAAAAGGACCTGACGGTCACCTGAGCCATTCGATAAACCTCCGTGTTCATGTTTAATCAGTGTGTTGTCATATCGAAGTTGTTATCAAGGTTTTCAGAAACGCTCACCTGTTTGTGCCCCTGCCCAGAGACGATGTTTGTGCGGAACCTCCTGGGACCGGTCGAAAACACTCGCGGAAGCCGTGGCGCGCTCTCAGGCGGCGGCTGCTCAAGTGGCTCAATCCTTGGGTTACAATGTGGCGCCGGTGGGTGTGCCCACGGCGGCAGCCTACGGGGACCGCGGCTTTTGTGTGTGTTTTTTGTCTCTTTTTTTCGGCGTGGCGTGGCCGAGCAGGGGAGTGGTATACAGCCATTTGCGCTGTAAAAGAGTATGTAGATCAAGAGGATCATGCAGGGAATACACTCTCTGAAACAATCATGGAAGTGGACAATGGCCCCTTTTGGACTGCAATTTCTGTGAGACGCATAAATACTGAAACTGCTGAGGCTCGAGGAACCATGCAGATTGATACCATATGAATCCATATGACAGCAATCAAACGGGTTTGAGAGACATTCCATTCTGATTGGGAACCAATTGTGGGCAAAGTTCTTTTTTGTCTTTTTCTTTGGGAAAGGATTCATATATATATATAATATATATATATGTATAAATGGATTGTATGTTCTACACGAAAAGCGGGATTGATGTCGCTGGTGCTCTATATATTAACATGTTGTAATAGTGTTACGACCGATTCGCACGGATAAACTTACCGAGATGCCCCGTGTCGCACGGTTCGCACGGGCCTTAGCTCCTCTGCAGGACCTTCCCTCTGCTGCACCTCCTTATGGCCTTAGCTCTCCAAACCCCATGCCCGCCTCCATGGCCAGCATGAACCCGCCGCTTGAACCAACCGCGCCCAATGTCTGGCAGTCATGGGTTGAAGCATCATATTGTTTTGGGATGTTTTGGGGGTGGGCAGGAATGGGGAATACATGGCAATACAATTAGTTTTAAAGCTTTTGATATGTGGACTGCAAATATACTGGTGTCTTAAATGATGCTGAGGCCGTGGTTGCCTCTTTTGAGGTGCATCAGTCCTGAGTGCTCTTTGAGCATAGAGTGAGGTTCCACTGGATGGGAAGCTTTATTTGGTGGCAGCGGCGTGTCTTCCATTTTGGGGTGTGTGCAGGAGGCATGTGTATTGGCTGCTTAATGATCTATATCAGCAAGGGGTCCACACCGGATCTATATACTGTAACCCTCACACTAAACCTATAGCCTATAGTCACTCGCAGCCACTCATCACTCACAGACCGCGTTGTTCAGTGAAATCATTGCATCCCAACTTCCAACAACGGAGCGTGGTGATTGTTGAACTGACAGTAGTGATTGCATTTTGCCACACCATCGGAACACTCCTTGGACGTCCAGTGGAGTGCGAGCACTCGCTTGTGCACTGGAAATTATACTCGCTTGCGCACTCTTTTGTTTGCTACACACGGGTGGAAACATCTGCAGCTGGAGTATAGTTTCCGTTGCACAAGCGTGTGCTCGCAGTGTAGTGGATCAGATTGCTCGCCTAATGCAAGATTTCCGTTAAGAAATTGTTCGTTTGTCAGTGCTTGAGCGTAGTGCTGATGGCCCACCCCCCACCCCCCAGGATCTAGGTGAGTGCAAGAAATTGTTTGTTTGTTAGCGCTTGAGTGTAGTATATAGTGCTGATGGCCCCACACCCCACACCCCAGGATGCATGTGAGTGTAAGATAGTCTTTCTTTGTTAGTGCTTGAGTGGGAAGTGCTGATGGCTCCACCCGCCAGGATGCAGGTGAGTGTAAGATATTCTATGTGTGTCACGTTTGTCAATGCTTGGCTGTTGTGCTGAAAGTGCGCAAGTGAGTGTCCGGCCCACCATGGGTATCCTGGAGGGAAGGCCAAAACGACAACTGGTCATTGGTATACAAATAGATTGGAACGTCCTGCGTGAAAGGGCCCACAGTGAGAGGCCCAGTAGGTTGAAAGAACACGCTGATGGACTAGCTGGTGACCCAAGGCTATGGCTGCTGCCTGCGGCATTGGCGGCCTCTTGCCTAGGCCACATCAGACAAAGGTTTTTGCATCGATCACTTGCATGATGAATTGGACATCTTTTGGAGCCTAAAAGGACATACTCTAGCAACATCTACTGTAATTCTTTAGGTCCGTCGCTTGTCACCTCACTGAATGATAGTGGTTATGAATGACTGAGACCAAAGTCTCATACCTGCTTTTCATCGACATGTAGGTCAAACATGGCCACTAGCAGAGGTGATAGAATCACTGGACCCCACGATTTTCCCTGAACGTTCCAAAGACCGAAGTAGTGGTGATATGAACTTTGGTTCCTTGGGTTCTGATGGTGAACCTTTTGTCCACTCGCTTCTCCCACCTTGTCCAGAAAAAAGACGTGGTCTCGCGATGTTTCGACCTCACCAGTCGTTGGACGACCGGTCTTTCTCCGATTCTGAAATCCACCAAAACAAGCGACAAGTCTCATGGGACAACGGTCGCCCCCAAACCACCTGAAGCAGCGGAAAACGGAGATTCCGCCACCACTCTCTCGAGGCGAACGGAGAAAACAAGGAGACGAGGTGGGGAGCACCCGAAGGTCCAGGTGTTGGGGAGACGAGGCTTGTGAGGTCGTGAGGTGGAATGATGTGGAAATACCTTCAGGTTTCTGGACCGTTGGACCAGGCAAATCCTTCATGGATTTGTTGGGCTGAAAGAAGACCATTGAGGAAGGGTACTTGGGAAGTTGGTGTAAGTTGATGCGCTGGGCAGGGTGATGCTGGTTGCAGGATCACACTTAGGAGCGATGCTTGGTATATTCAACAGCACATCCCCGTCGTGGGGCCTGATGTTCATATTGAATGAGCTTATAAAAGATCTTACTTTACTGGACTTCCGAGCTTTTTTTAAAAATTATATATATGTTGCAATCTTGTTTCATGAGCCATACTGCACTGATCTGCACAGTGTCATTCAAAGCATGCTGTGACCCTGCAAGGGATTGCTTGTTTGGTATTTTTGAAGGTTGAGCGTCGGCTAAGAATGCTGAAACCTCTTGGCATAGTTGCCACTGTGGGTTGAGTTTGGACAAAGTGTGGCGTGTCAATCTGGAAACACACATATTCCTTAGATTGCAGCAATAATTGTCAGACTGATACTCCGCCTCCCAAACATTGCTTTCTTGGCCAGACTCTTCCATAGACCCAGGAGCGAGCTTGGTCTCTAGTGTCTTTTGCTGTGTTTCTAGGAGTCACTCGTATTGTTTGGAGGCTAAAGCTTTGGGCCTGTAGGCTGTTCAAAGACATGGCGGAGCTCTCATCCAACGACCACCACCACTCTCGCCCACCACCGCCGGGTCACGGACCGTGCGGTGCAGTTCCTGTCCTTCAAATCGGTAGAGCAGTTGGAGCGACCCATTCCGTCCGTGTAGCGCGGAGCGGAGAAAGCGGAGTGGCGCCTTTTGGGGGGAGAGGGGGCGGTGCCGTTCGAGATGGGCCAGAGTCGGAATGCTACTGCTAGTGGACCTTCATGTACTTTCTCTCATGCTCTCTCCATAGGAGAGGTGTTGTAAGTTTGATGAGATGTCTTTGAATGTCTGGATAACATTGAACCCAGACTTCTGGACGCTTTAGGTGCATCTTCTCTTGTGTGCTGCCCCGTCATCATCGGTCTCCCTCGATGTGGAATGAAGAACGAGCGGTCACGGATGGAGGGAGATTGTTTCTATCCATACCCAAACGATTGCTGTAATGTTCTTGGTGGATGGAACATGATGGAACTGCTTTTGGTCCTTCCCAAACGTGTTTTATGTTCAGGCAGTCAGCCATGATCGAACCCATGTCGCCAAGTTAGGCATAGAGGTGACCCCACCAGTTGGATAAAGCGCAAACTGGAACATCGATCACACATGTTGGTGGAAAGAAGGATGATCCCCTGATGCGACTAAGTCTGACTGGATGAAGGCAGATTAGCCTGGTGTTGGGCATGTTTGAGCCTTAATGCCATCTCTTTCGAGCAGCCTTGGCTCTAAGAGTGGCTTTAGCCGGGGAGGAGAGAAGATTTGAGTCTGAGTGTGTCAAAAAAGAAGCACCTTTCAGAAAATCCCCAGCCCTGACGGCTAGTTTACACGCGAAGGGCATTTCGCAACAGGAAGATGTGACCTGAAACACACACACACACCAAGAGACAATCTTGCAGTATGTTTTACAATGGCAAGTTGAGCTTCATAGTCCAAACAAATGAGCCACACAGGACCTTGTGGACGGCTTGAGATGTCGATCCAGGCATGCATGCGACCGGTCTCAGATAGACTTATAAAAATCGTTCATTGGAGAGAGCCTGTTTTCCAATTTAGGTATATACAGTAAAAAAAGACAAAAACAAGTCAATCCCAAAGTCAAAGTCAGAAAAAAATCAAATCAGAAAGTTTCACAAAGTCAAGAAAGTCAATTTGCCCAGATCCGATTATTGTTTGACTTTTTATTTACTTTTGTGGTACTTGTTTTGACAGTTTTTTTGTTTTTAAACACCGTGTTTCTTGTTTACGGTTTTTCGATGTGTTTTTGACTTTTTCGAGTGGTTGACTTGTTTTTGGCATGTTTGTTGATATTTGTTCGAGTTGTTTTTTGATTTTGATGTTTTTGTTGATTTGTTTTCGACTTTTGACGGTTTCTACTTTTTTCGACTTGTTTTGAATGTTTGTTTTTTGGATCGAGCTGTGGTCTATGTTTGACTTTTTTGACTGTTGTTCGACTTGTTTTTGACTGTTCAATTTGCATGTTTTTGACTGTTTTTTCCATTTGATTTTGTTGACTTTTTTAATCAAGAATTCTGGCCTTACCATCTACCGGAAACAAGCCAACACAAAATAAGGAAACCGTTCAAAGCCCTCCCGCCATTCTGCGAGCAGACGATTGAAGTTGCAGAAGTTCTGCTTTGCTTTAAAGAATGTGACTCAGAATGGCCGTACCATAGCCGAAAGAGAACCCTTGTCCTTCTTCGGATCCAATCGAATGGACAATATGATGACGGCCAGCGGGTCGCAGGTGAAAGTGGGTCGCAGTTCTTGGCGCGTTGTCGGATGCTGTCAGGTGTGCAGAGCATTGCAATGCTCAAGGTGTGCCGGACTGGTAGCAAAGAGGCCCGCCATGGCGCCTTTTTGACTTGACATCTTTGGAACACTGAGATGAAACTATTTTTGTTCTGCAAAGGGGATGAACCAAAGATCTAAGATTTACTAAGACTAAGAGTGGTGTGGTTTCTTTCTAAAAAAAGGAACAACTGCTCTTCAGCCTTCTTCCATCCTGAGCCTCACAGGCCATCAACCAACTGCTGAAGCCTTTGGCCTTGGCATATGCTTGGCCACAGGCGGCCTTCTTGAGCCTTAAACAAAAGGTTGTTTTTAATTGCTTGATGAGTCATTGGAAGTGAGTTGCACGCTTTTCGGCGGCTATTTGTGAGATTGAATTGAGGGGATAGAAGCGGTAGTGATGACTTGGTTGTGATAACTCTTTCCGAAGTTAGAAGGGCATCAAATGGGCTCGTAGATTAGATATCGATCACCAAATGTCTTGAAGATCAAGGCTTGTGATTGTACCCTCATTCTTTTTAGCTGGCGCCCAGAACTGGCGATATCGAAGCTGAAACCGATCGCCTGGCTTGATTCTGCAAGCCTCAGGACTCGGTTCTCAAGCTCCAAGAAGGACAATGCTTGGGACTTGACTTCCAGACTACTTCTGACATACCGTGTTTGGGTTGACTGCTATACGGCATCAAATCCACCTGCCCACCGGTCACCGGATGCGATCGCGCTTGCCTGCTAGGCGATCCACTTGCTGGAGGCCTTCCCGCTTGGAGAAGTTGTTGGAGAGGTTTCTTCTGAAGCAGCAGGATCCAAAGAATCGAGACACCGAGTCTCTACGCCGCCAAAAGCGCGAGTCTCTACAGTTACGGATGTTCAGCATGGATGTTAAGTGTCCGGGCGCAGTGCAAGAAGTCACTCGGTTGAGCAGTGCATCGCGAAATGCAAATGAAGTCCCACTAATGTCGCCATGAGCAAGAATAAGGTGGATTTCCCAAGGAAGGCTCTCAGCGGGTGCATTTAGTCGGATTTTGTCATGAATCAGAGGTATTCCGATATTCCCCATGCACATTGTCAGGGGCTGACCCCATTTTGCATGAGAATCATGAGACATTTTTCTACCATGCTATTACACGCTGTGTCGGGCAAAAGGATCGTTATCATGGTAGCAGGCGTTGGTTGATGTTCTTCCATAGGTTTGGCTTAAAGTTTTCAACCAAGAAAAACATACAGAACAAACTGATGGTTGTGCGAGGATACTGAGGATACTGGCATATACCGGCTATGGACTTCCAAGAAAAAATCACCAATCACTTGGAGAGCATTCCATGTTCCACCGGAGTCCCGTTTCCCAAAACCGTCCTGCAACCCCTCTCCGATGGGCTGCTTCCGCCTGCTTCGGCCTGTTTCGCCGTTGCGCCAGGCGTCACGGAAGAATCCATCACTCGATGTGGCCACCTGAGACTCGGTCTTGGCTCGCTGGGTCGCTACGAGACTCGGTGACTGGAGTCTAACACTAGACATGTAACATATATTGAAACATGATGTGACACTTTTCATGGGTGCGAAACCATGTGAGACCACATGCATTCCCCCCAGCAACAATTACTTTCGCGTTGTGCGACCTGTGCGAGGGCACTTTGGTTTGCATTTTGAGTCGACCTGTCGGCCTGTGTAGGTGGTGCACTTGACCTTCGCACTGCGAGCCTGTGCCGGGGGAACCGAGTGGAGAGAGAAGAATGATAAGATGGCGAAGATTCAATCTTTGGGACCTTGAAAGGAACCTTTTATTAGGTAGTTGCCATTAATTCTGAACTCAAATAGACCAAGAGGAGATTCCCTTTTAGCATCTTTTGACTTTGGACCTGATTGTTTATGCAATTTACCTATATTTTTTAGACCAGACTGTAAGTGGTTACTTTATAATGTTATTATCATTTGGTAAAACCATCATGACACGATGCACAACTGTGAGCCGTGTGGATTACTCCCCCGACAAGGGGCATGTCCAGCCATGTGATGTTGATTCACAGTCCAGGCCCAGGAAATGCTTGGTAGGACCCACCAGTTGAGTAGGGAAGGATCATAGTGGCGAGAGCTCTGAGACTCTCTGAGACTCCGGATCCTGCCGTTTTGGGAGGAACCCCCCTCGAAAAAAACGGGAGGAGTCGGGCGGAAAAACGGAGAGACGACCAGCTCGCTGAAAACCTCTCGAAGCCTTCAGCCAGCGGGGATAGGGGAGGTCAATGGATGTCATCTTTTGATATCTTTTGAGAGTGGTCCATCGTGGTTTTCAAGTGACATCATGGTCCCAGCGAGCTTGCTTGCTGCTGTGTTCAGCAGCCCAAAAAGTATCCTCTCGTGAAATGTGAGCTGTTGCTAGATCTTCCATGTTTTGAACTGATGGTGGGAATGGGAATCCGCTACATCCCTCTACAATGTACGTTGAACTCTTTGCGGTTCTAGCTTAGTGCAAATAAGCATCTCTCACTCACGGACTGCTTCTTCCTTCTTAGGCGAAAAAGGCGGCCTGGCAGGCGGAGAGATGACAGGGATGTTAATTATTACTTTTGCGTATGGTACCTGATCAAATTGGATCAAGTATTGTCCTAAGCTTCAACTGCATCCTGAGAAGGTGCTTGGGGTGGGTTTGATTGGGCTTGGGTGGTCGAAATCTTTGTTTAAGTACCTTCTAGGATTTAAATTGTCGAAGCTCTAGGCTGTTCTTGGAGTGGCGCGTCTAGTGACATCCATGCAAGCTTTGACAAAGTCAATTGGCTTGGTCCAGTCAATATGGCTGTGGGTCAAAACCTCACAACCTTGGTTGTTAAAATAAACAGATTGCTCTATAACAGATGTCAACCTCCCAACGTTTTTAGGGTGATGCTTTGACCCACAGTTACATGGGACAAAGTCGATGTGGAACTTTTCGTTCCTCGTTGAAGTCTTTGTCACACAAGCCACCAGAAAGTATGACCCCCCTTTAACCATGGAATAACCCACACTTTGGGATGTTCAAGTTTGATGATATTGTACTTGTATAGCAGCAAAATTACTATTTAGAACTAAACACCACCAAAGTCCAACAATTATACAAAACTATTTTTGTTTCTCAGGAAATGATGTGATAATCATTAAACACCCCCTACTATCATCTACTATCCAGGAACTTGTGATGTGACACAAGTTCCCTTTACCCTAGCGGTCCGAGGAACAAAAAAGTAGGGTCCTCGGAAAGTCTGAGGAATCAGGACCTAAAAGGTACACTCTCGGCAACACTTGAACCATGATTTGCAGTGTGAATGTGGCTGGGGTGAGCAAGCGTGAGCAGGGGTCTCAAAAGGAACCTCGGCGAACCCAAAAGGAGCCTGGACAGACCTCAAAAGGAACCTCGGCGGACCTAAAGGGAACCTCGGCGAGCGTGAGCAAGCGTGAGTGCTGCTAGTCTAGCTAATTAATGCTAATTATTGCTTTTGCAAGCAGTGCTGTTGGTCTGCCATATGGGATACTTGGCTCATGGACACTCGGCATTGTTGTGAGTTACTCGGCGAATGTACTTTCTAGTCCCTCTTCGGCG